GATTCCTTTGTTGATGTTCTAGAAAATAATCTGTTTCAAGTTTATTCAGGATGTGAGCGGAATTCAATTCCTTTTGGTTTTAGTACTGAGACCCTCTTCTTGCTGCCGTCAGTCAAGGATCACTCTCAGCTTCTAGAAGCCATGTGCATTGCTAGTCACATAGCCTCTCCATCTTTAAAGCCAGCAATAGAGAATTTATGTGTCAAATCTCTGTAGCTTTGAATTCTTGACTTCCTTTGTCTCTGAGCTCTAGACCATTGTTATAAATCATCATCATCATCATCATCATCATCATCATCATCATCATCATCAACATCATTGTTTCCAAGAGTCAGGTGTCCTTTAAGAAGAGTCCATAAGATAGGTTCAACTCTGGTTTGCATTCAGTGTTTCTCCCATTGTGTTCTTGGGAATCAGGGATATGATTAGTCATCTATTTTGATGTCCTTAAATTTTCAGTAGCACTCGAGAAAATCCCCACACATCCTTTGAGTGAAGGTTAGACATTCTCTGGCAGGCAACCTCTCAAAGCGTCAATGGTGTCTCATCTCTAATGCTTTAAGTTCTAATGACCCTCAAGGAAGGGACACCTGATCCAATTTGGACTGATCAAGGAAAGGTTCAGAAGGATATGAGCCCTCAGCTGGGTAACTGGATTCACCGGAGGGGATGTCCTGGTGAAAGAAGGAAGACATTCTAGATAGAAGGGATCACATGGTCATAGGCACTGAAATGGGAAAGACAGGTGTGTTTATAGAAGCGGGAAAGAATGCTTCACGAACACGGTTCTGATTTATGTATTATGTAGCTCAATCTCACCCTGTACGGGGGATAGATTTGGGCATACCGCAGGCAGAAGGATGAGCTAGAATGCTGTTATTAGAGTCTGTGGAGAGAATGACATGGGTACAGGTATAAACAGGTCCTCAGACCAGGAGACTTAAAAGAGTAATGCATGGCCCCCAGCCTGGGAGGGAATGAATGGCTCACAGGGCTGTCAGACCATAATCACTGACACGCCTTGGCCTGAGGGACGGGCATTAGCCAAGTAATCACAAGTGGCCAGAGTGTGGGAGTGAGCCACGAGCAAGGGGGATTTGATCACGACCCTGAATAAAGGGCAACATCTGTGTAAGTAAAGTTCCTGACTCGGATCTGGATGGTTCTGAGCAATCAAGGAGAAGATGTGAAACCAAACGCTCTCATGGGAAGGGAGCAGAATCTAACACCTTGGAAAGGACTGGGCTGGAAAGAGTGAGCAAAGCCAAGTCAGGAAGGAGATAAGGTGCATGGTGGATGTGTAGTTGCAGTAAGAAGCACCAATAATTCCTGTGTAGAAGAATCCCAACACTTCACCACTAATGCATCTGAACTCTGGAAGCTTCAATACCAACACGGATGTTTAGACAAGTCTGTGAAGCGGGGCGCCTGGGTGGCTCAGTCAGTTAAATGTCTGACTTCGGTTCAGGTCATGATGTCATGGTTAGGGATTTGAGCCCCGTGTCAGGCTCTGTGCTGACAGCTCAGAGCCTGGAGGCTGCTTCGGATTCTGTGTCTCCCTGTCTCTCTCCACCCCTCCCGTGCTCATGCTCTGTCTCTCTCTCTCTCAAAAATAAATAAACATTAAAAAAAAGTCTGTGAAGATGTTAGGAGATCACAACGTTCCTATTTGCAGCTACTGAAGGTCTGGCTGTTTGGACACAGTAGCTGACGTGCTTCACCAACAGGGAGCTCCAGCTTTTCCTTCTCCAAGTTCCCAGTGTTCACGCTCATGATCTGATTATTATAAAGTTGACTGTTATAAATGCATATCAACAAAAGTTTTCTTGAAAGTTTCAACTGTCAATGTGACTACCAGGGAAAGAGTCTTAGAAACCAAATGGAGAGTTTCCTATCACTGATAAAAGGCAGAGGAAAACCAAACTATATTTATGAGTCATTTTTACCACTTCCACTAAAAGTCTAAAAAATATTTGGTTTGTTTCATTTCCTCTAAGAAACTCTCTTACCCTTCCTTAGCATCCCTAAGAAGTACGAAACAACATCTAAATTATCAAAGACTTCATTACCTATTCTCCTTTTAAAAAATGTTTGTATTCTATTTTTAAATGTTTTTTGAATATTCCTTTTGATGTGCTAACTAGGTTAGTCTATCACACTTAATAAAGACCTGAATTTCCAAAGGTGATTTCTGAAGCTGAGCAAACAACTAGGTTATGACAAAAAAAGAACAGTGGAAGCTATGTATTAGACTTTCCCCCAATGAATTATCAGTAAATTGCTTGTATTATTCAAGTGCAGATTCATACACTGGAGATTTCCAATATACAAAATAATTAAGCTTAATGAAAACTGACATTATATAGCTATCTGGCAAGGAGAAATAATTAGGTAGTGTCATCTGCACTTAACACTACCATTCAATATATATTTTACACAGAACTATTGATTGTGTATCATGGCTGAGAGCTAAGAATATAAGATTAAGAATCAAAAGTTGTCATGGGATAATTTTTCTGTCAACTTTGGTAGTTCACTGATGGGTTCTATTCCAGATACCTTGGACCCAAGGAAAAGAAATCAATTCAGTCAAATCAAATGAGGGAGGAGGGAAATTTTTAAGAATTTAAAAATTCAGCTGCTCCCAATGATAAGCAAACTGGCCTGTTTGACTTTCAGGAACAATACAGTCTCTCTGTTGGACTACTTTTTGTCATACAGATGCCTCCACTGGCACGAATCCACAGGGCCACTGTCCTCTACCGCTTACCATTAGATGTCACAGACTTTGGATCACTTACTTAAAAAAATGTTTTTTAATATTTATTTATTTTTTGAGAGAGAGAGAGACAGAGCACAAGCAGGGAAGGCACAGAGAGAGAGAGGGAGACACAAATCTGAAGCAGCCTCCAGGCTCCGAGCTGTCAGCACAGAGCCCGATGTGGGACTCAAACCGACAAACTGTGAGATCGTGACCTGAGCCAAAGTCAGACACTTAACTGACTGAGCTACCCGGGCACCTGTGGATCACTTATTTTGCGTTTTCAAGAGTAAGACCAATTTCTTACAGGTTGCTCACTGGATGAATCACCATTAGATCAGATATCTATCTCTAATTCAATCAGAGGTTGGGCATTCAGGCACAGGATACAACATGGTCCCCTAGACCTATTTCTACCAGGGGCTGGGGGTGGATTTAATAAAATAAAAGATGTACAGTATGCAAACATAGCACACAGAAAGACTGGATATAGAAACTGACCAATAACGAAACAACGGGTTTCAAAGTGAAATAAACGTGAATTCAGTGGTGTGTATAGACCTAAAAACCTGACAGTCTTAGCTTCTCAGGAAGTAGGGGAAAAGAAAAAAACATCTTTAACAAAAAGCTCTTCAAATACGTATAACCGTAGGAACTGGTTCGAATACATATTTACAAACATTTTTCTCCCTGACTTAGTCTCACCATCTTCAACCAGTCAACCTTCTGTAAACAATTTCAGGTAGGCACAATTCGCATTTTTTTTCTTGTCCATTCTGCTTTGGTTAATCTGGGTGTTCAACAAATCTGTGATGAGTTTAAGGGGTCCCCATGTACCCATTCACAGCTACTGATAACCTAGGTACTTGGATGCAGAGGTGGATACACTTTCACATGCCCAAAATAAAGTTTTGGGATGGAAAATGATATTGCACCCAAGGAAGCTAGTCTAACAAGAGTGCAATGATTTCCTTGCAAAAATTCATCATTGTTAAACAAAAAAAAGAATGATGTTAAAAGACCGATGGCAAATGACTCTGGTGGGAAACATTCTGACTACAATGATAAAATATTTTAGAGCAATGGAGACAAGGACCTTTTTAATTCTTTTGTCAGAGCAGGTGGCTAAGAGACCATCAAATTCATGCTCCTGAGCAGAGTGGCTATAGACCCCAGGTCTAGGGATCCCCACCCTTCTTCCATCTACGAGAGGCCATGTGACTGGTTTTCACCAATGGTTTGTAGGTGCAGTGATGCAACTGGCAATGTAATTGACAATGAGGTATAGGGATGACAGAGCTCTCAAGAGAGAAGCTGGATCCTTCATCACTGTAGGAGGGAAAGCGGAGGGGCAGCCCCTGGTTACCATCCACTACCTCCATCTGTTGCATAAATGAGAAGCAAACTGCTCTTGCATTAAGTCACTGCAATGTTGGAGTTGATTTGCCACAGCAACTATTGTTTCCTGAACTAAGACTCCTCCCTAAAAATGTAGAAGGTCAAAAACACAATGTAGAACAGGACGATAGAAAAGTATGATGCATTACTGAGAAATAAAAGCTGTCTTATAGAGAGCTTCATGATTCTTTCACACATACTCACATCACACACACACACACACACACACACACACACACACACATTTTAAATATGAAAACATGGTCCTAGGGTGGATCATTTATTTTGTGGGCAAGTGACTACGTCTTGTTTTGAGACATTCTGGAACCTCAAAGCAGCCGCTAACTGAATAACTCTTCTATCTATGAATTTGAAATCGTTCTACCCAAGAGAATTGCCTGTGTGGTTGATAACCGAGGTGCGATTTCACACTTTAGCATCATATATTAGCAAACAATACAGGTTACACCAAAATGTTCTCCCTTTCCCTTCAGGAACCTGCAACTCTGGATCATCTAGGAAAAGAGAACCAGACTGAGAGACTGTGCTGTGGAATCTGATTTCCAGCAAGCTGACTGCATGCAGAGCCTTCCTTTACGGACAATTATGCGCCATTTGCATCCGGGGCAGGTGTTAATTCTGTTAAAGGAGTTTCAAGTACAAATCAGGCCATTTCAGACACCTTTTGAACATCTTAAATCAGATCGGTTACAATTCCCTTCCCACATCCGACTGACTGTTCCGTTCCACTGCCAGGTTTGTGAGGAGAAGACAAACACCACAATTTACTTTCACTGGCAGCTCACAGCCCAGAACTGTAAGGAGGCAGCGTGCCCAGTACCTGATACTGCTCACGCTGCCCGTCTCTGATCCCAGCTTGCATCGCTCCAGTTGGCTGGCTACGATTTGGCGTTCTGCCTCCAGCTCTCGGGTCAGTCTCTCAAACTGTAATTCCTGAAATAAAACCACCAAAGAGATGAGTTCTATCATCTATTTGCAAAGGGGAATTCCTATCAAAGTGACATGATGGTCAAGGGGAAAATGCAATTTATCAAGATGTCAAATAGGAGAAGCAGAGGATGCTGTTGTGAAACCCAAGAAGGGTTGGCAGTTCGGACAGAGCTGAGTTCAGATCTCAGTCCTGGCACCTGCTGGCTGTAGGGCCTTGAGTAAGTTATTTAATCTTTCTTATATCGATTTCATCACCTGTAAAATGGGCTTACAATACCTATTCCATAAAGTCGGGGTGAGGATTAAATGAGCCCGCCCATGAAAAATTATTCTTTGGCTGGTGGCCAGCACCCAATGGATATTAATACTTCCTCCATTAAAATTGTAACATTCCATGAAATGTTAAAAGAAACAATTTTTCTATCATTTGGAGTACTGTGTTTATTCCCTACTGGGTTCTAGCTGCCTCTCTATTAACTTGATCATAATATTACTTACATATATTGTAGACTGAAGAAAAATAATGCTTATACTTCTGTAGGCTTTAAACTCCAGGAGAAAGGCAATGATACTGATCCTATACAACCTAATTACTAAATGAATATCTTTTGAGATATTTGCTGTATCACCTTAAAAAAAAACAATTAAACCAATGAAGAATGCTTTGAAGAATGCCTGAAATCCACTGTTAAAGGATCAACATTAACGAAAAATGATTCAATCAGTGCATCAAGGATCTTAGCTCTTCCAATTATAGGACTTTTGTACCACATTTTCACCTTTGCATTATATTTTCCCATACACTTAAGTTTTTTTACTAAACATAATTATAGCAAAGCATATATTTTCACTAAAAATTTCAGGAAAAGTTTTTACAATGTCACATTTAATTTCTGTAAAATATAAGTTATCTACACAGTTATGTTTTGGGTAGGGGAAAACAAAAATGCTGGAGAATACTGAAAATACAGGTTAGTTTGGAAGAATTATAACTCGCCACATCGCAGAGATGTGTCTTCCCATAAAAGTTGCATTCATTTTATTTGCTACCCTGGGACATTCTTGGGGGATACCTGTAAAAAGCGGGATCTGGCGTGTCCTCCATACATATTAAAAATGCCCTTGGCCTTTTCCACAGGAGATTTCTTTTCTGTTAACAACATTATTTTGGGGAACCAAGAGACACTTTACAAATGAGAGCTCAACTTTTCCTTTAAGGTGCTAAAACCGAGGAAGCATGTTATGGGAGCTCAAATCTTTATTCTTACATGTTCTGAAGGATGGCAAAGATGATTCATAAGGACGAAAAGCCAAGACCTCTACCAAAATGCATTTTTGTGTACCTAACCTCCACTGCCTCTTCCAGCAAGTTTTACTTTTTTTTTATTTTACTTTTTTTTGGCAGTTCCTTTCCACAGAAATACACAGATTCCAGAAGATTTTCATTTCCAGGCTTTATATTTTATCCTGCATCTGTCTGTGTAACAGAAAACCAAGTTATACCTTTGGATTGATAACACGTGAAAAACAATATTTAAAGATCATGTAGCATTCTTCATAGGCACATGGAGATTCAGTATTATTTTTTTTTAAGTTTATTTTGAGAGAGACAGAGCGTGAGCAGGGGAGGGGCACAGAGAGAGGGAAAGAGAGAGAATCCCAAGCAGGATCCATGCTGCCAAAGTACAGCCCGTTGTGGGGCTCAAACCCACAAAACCATGAGATCATGATCTGAGCCAAAACTGAGAGTCAGACGCTTAACCCGACTGAGCCACCCTGGTGCCTCTACATGGAAATTCGTTATGTCAGCTGCCTTGCAAACAGAGTCACGTATTTCTAGAGCTTCTCATCTCTGTGTGTAGATCTTTATTTCCATGTGGCATTATTCTCCTTCTGTCTGAAAGACTTCCTTCAGTGTTTCTTGGCATGCAGTTCTTTCGGTGGATTCTCTCAGCTTTATGTGCCTAACAAGAGTTGTTATTTTGCCCTCGTTTTTTTGTAAGGCATTTGTCCTCTCACATTGTTTCTGACAAAAAAAAAAAAAAAAAAAAAAAAAAAAAAAAAAAAAAAAAAAAAACGCCTCTGTTATTTGCGTATTTGGTTCTTAGTGTATCCAGTGTCCTTCTTCTCTGCCTTTTATGATTTTCTCTTTATCACTGGTTCTGAACAACGTGATCATAATGCTCCTTGATGTAGTTTCCCTCATGTTTCTTACGCTTGGGATTCACTGGGCTTCCTGGATAAATCTGTGGATTTATCATTTCCATCAAATCTGGGAAAATTTTAGTCATTAATTCCTCGATTTCTTTTCTGTTTTCCCCAGTAACACCCCTCCTTCAGTGACAATAACCAAGTATACATTAGATCATGTGGAATTGCCCCACAGCTCATGGATTCTTGTTTTATTTTTAAAATCCTTTTTTCCCCTCACTCTGTTTCATTTTGAACAGTGTCCTTTGGTTGTCGAGTTAATCAATCTTTCCCTCTGCAATGTCTAATCCACCATTAATCCTGTAGAGTATACTTTTATCTCCAACATTGATGAATCAAACATCCCAAGAAGTTTCCCTCGGGTCTCTTGTAGATTTTCCATGTCTCTTTAACTTAGAAATCTAGGAAATACGCATATAAAACCTGTTTTAATGTCTTGATTAGCTAATTCTAGCACCTGTGTCAATTCCAACTGCTTGACTTTTCTCCTGAGTACAGGCCCTATTTCTGCTTCTTGTCAGGTATAGTGATCTTTTTTTGTTTGTTTTACATTTTTTATCTCAATTTTCACTTTTTTTTATCTTTAAAAATTCATAAATACAATGTATTGTCAAGTTGGCTAACATACAGTATCGGGGATAGATTCTGGTGATTCATCGCTGGGTAGGCGGTTGGGGAAAATGCGTGATGGGCATTGAGGGGGGCACTTCTTGGGATGAGCACTGGGTGATGTCTGTATGGTATGGTGATGTTTCATAAAACATAACACATTTTGAATTTCCCCCTTGTGTGCTGAATATCTTAATATTCCTTACAGGTATTTTAAGGCCTGTTTGGGGGCACAACTACTTGGAAGCAACTGGATACACTTGAGTCTTGCAGCTCAGCTTTGTTAGGGGTGACAGAGCAGCATTTGGTCTAGGGCTAAGTACTCCTTTACCTGGGCGGATCCTTCCAAGTACTCAACAACCAATGGATCATGGGTTTCCCAGTTCGGCTGGTCAGTGTGGACACATATTCCTGGCCCCAGGTGAGCCCCCAGGTACGGTTTCTTCCCATCCTCTCAGATGGTTCCTTCCCTGCCCCCTGGCGGTCTCCTTTTACATATGCAGGCTCTCAGGTCTCAGCTGAATAGCACAAGTGGACCCTCTGCAGATCTCCAGGGTTCTTGTTCTGAGCGGTGATCGCCCTCCTTCTACTTTGCCCCACAAATTCTAGTTACCTTTACCTCCACGGACTGTCCGCACTGTCTCCCCAGTGCAGGGAGTTCTCTGGGCTCTGCCTGGGTACCCCCCCATCTTTTTTTTTCTTTTTTAAGATTGAGAGAGAGGGAGAGAGAGAGAGAGAGAGAGAGCGCGCAATCAGGGGAGGGGCAGAGAGAGAGGGAGAGGGAATCCCAAGCAGGCTGTGCAGTGTCAGCACAGAGACTGACATGGCACTCGAACTCATGAAATGTGGGATCACGACCTGAGCTGAAGTCAAGTCAGATGCTCATGCTAGTGAGCCACCCAGGCGCCCCATGGGTCCCCCTTTCTACACTGTTGTAGCTGGGGAAATTGTGCACCCAGTGTATTTGTTCTGAGTCTCTTACGAACCACCTTTCTTCACTGCCTAAAGTTCAGAGTCCTGAAAGTTGGTGTTTCATATTCTCTGTGATGTGTTGTTTCAGGTGGGAAGGTACTGCCGGGCCCTGTTAGTCTATCTCACCTGAAAGTCGCAAGGTTTTTAAGAATTAACAAGTTTCCTCTATGCTTGATTTGTAAATGCATATTTTCTGCCGTATCTTAAAACTCCCAGTCAACGAGCTACTAACCAAGCAAATACTTATGCGTTTGCACATTCTCTTCAATGTTGTTCACTATTATTAAAAATAGATGGCTACTTTGGGTTACTTGTTTGTTTTACTTACCTGATGACTTTTTAACTGAACTGACATTTTCTTTATTAAGGCAACGGTATCAATATGTTGCCTTTTTAAAAGGTCCATTCAATAAATGTTTACTTTGTCATCGTGTATATGAACCAAGGAAGTAATTAAGTGAATTTTCCCCTGTGCTTTGCTAAGGAGTACATAGTAAATGTTAAGGCCCTCAAGGAGCAAGGAAGTTTCTCTTCTTCATCTACAATCCTATGTTTTATTAACGTAACAGCACAAAACATAAGAATAAAATTGGAAACAATTTTTTATCAAATGCTCACTATTGAGTACTTTATTTCTAGAACCATGTATAAACCAGGAATTGTTTTGTGCTGCGTTGCCAATGCATCTGGTGTCTAGAGCAGTCCGGGCACAGAGAAGTTACTCAATAAACACCTGTTAGATATATGTATGTATCTGCACTGAGCTAAATGCTTTACACGTATTACCTTGTGTAAACATCATCACACCGCTATTTCCTAGATTCTGGGTTTTTTTTTTCCTCTCATTTTACAAAAACGTTCATTAAGGTGAAAGGCTTATTAGCCTTGGCCAGGAAAAAAAAAATTTCTTCTTTCAAAAGGAGCAAAGAGAATGAGCTAAAGAACGGCGTTTAGGAGATCTGGACATAGACAAGGGGTAATTAATTGAAGAAGCTACCTAATATTGGGTAGATGACATCTTCCTCTTATTGTCAATTCTTTTGTTTTAGAGGCCATAGCAGTCCATTAACACGGTGGGCATGTGATGCCAATATAAACTATGAATTTCACTCACATTCATATTAAGACTCGTCATTTAAATAGTTTTTATTTCTCTGAACTCTAGAGACCAGGTTCTGAAATGTCCTCCAGCCTAGCGCTCATATTACAGT